TGATTGATTGATTGATTGATTGATTGATTGATTGATTGATTGATTGATTGATTGATTGATTGATTGATTGATTGATTGATTGATTGATTGATTGATTGATTGATTGATTGATTGATTGATTGATTGATTGATTGATTGATTGATTGATTGATTGATTGATTGATTGATTGATTGATTGATTGATTGATTGATTGATTGATTGATTGATTGATTGATTGATTGATTGATTGATTGATTGATTGATTGATTGATTGATTGATTGATTGATTGATTGATTGATTGATTGATTGATTGATTGATTGATTGATTGATTGATTGATTGATTGATTGATTGATTGATTGATTGATTGATTGATTGATTGATTGATTGATTGATTGATTGATTGATTGATTGATTGATTGATTGATTGATTGATTGATTGTTATGGATTTTTTGAGTCCTCTTCTATTTATACTCTATTCTTCTGAACTACCTCATATTATTAATAATTTTTCTTTCACTAGTCAACTATATGCTGATGATTTTTATATTTATTCTTCTTTTCTTTCATTTAATCTCAATAGTGTTCTGCTTAATCTATCTCTTGTCTTTCTTCAATAATCGCTTGGTCTGACTCTATGTGTCTTAACCCATTAGCGTTCAGCGTTCTTTTTTAATTCTTAATCGTTAAGCGTTCTTAATCCTTCTTTTTTTCTTTTTAATCCTTCAAAAACTTAATTTGAATTAATTTGTCTTAATAAATCTAAACACGATTAATATTTTTCCTATTATCTTACCTGATTCTAAAATTTTTGATGTTTCTCACAAGTTTCGTAGTCTAGGCTTTATCTTTGAGTCTATTACGTCTCTTTCTTTTCAGATTAATAGTGTTGCTAAAAGTTCTTACTTTCATCAACGTAGAATAAAAAAACTTTTGCCTTTTCTTGACGATCCTACTTTTCTCCTTCTTGTTACTTCGTTAGTCTTATCTAGGATTGATTATTGTAACTCGCTCTACTGTGGTCTCCCTGATTCTACACTCTATTCTTTAAGTAAAGCTTTTAACTCTGCTGCTCGTCGAGTTGCTCGTGCCCCTTTCTTTTCTCATATATTTCCATATCTTGTTCTCTTGCACTGGCTACCTATAAAATATAGAATAGTTTTTAAAATTTGCACATTTATGTATAAGTTTCAATCTAAATTATCTCTTAAGTACTTATCAGAAATATTAAATGAACCTAAACGCTCCGGTTTACGATCTCAAGACCCATCTATTTGCAAAATTCATTGAGGAGCGCTGTTGAACATCGCGGAAATAGAGTTTTATAAACTAATAGATTGATTGAAGCCATTGAATGCATTCTTTTTCATAGAATAAACAGATGACCTTAACTGTACGTGTAGCATATTTAAATTGGGTCACTAGCTCAGTGCAGCCTTTATAAACTAAATAACTTGATCAATAAGTCAATTCGGAATTAATTATTCACTTGAAGTTGCCCTATCTTGTTTTTATTACTACTACTACTACTACTACTAATGTTTAAATCATATGGGCTACTGGGCTACCAAAAACATTTTTATAATTTTTATAATTTTTAACGAATTTCAATCGTGCCAAATACAAACAAATTAAACAAATATTTGTATTGATTGAAATTTAACAAATTGTGTATTTAATAAAACAAACGTTTCAGACAGCAAATTTGCGAAAGCTTGTTTTGTAGTAAGCACACAAATTACGTTCCCATCCGTGTTCAATTCAGGCACGGAGGCAGTTCAAATATAAACTCGAACATAAGGACACCATAACCAAATCGTTTTAATTTTATCGTTCATTACGATGGCGCGCAATCATTTTATATTACTGCTCGGGTTAGCAGCTCTGCAACTTTTGCACGGTAAGGTTTTGTACGATTCGTCTCTTCTCTAGTCTATTTGTAAAAACCTCTTTTAATATTTCACATATTAGTCAGTAAAAACGTTGAGAAATAGTTATACAAAATGGTTACAAAATCTCTAATAAGTAATTTTATTGAAAAATTCGAAACATCAAACAGTCTGCCATGCATCAAGAACAAGCTCTACCCCATCACAGCTCCGGTGACCACAGGAGACGGAGCAACAAAATTCAGAATTGCTGTCATTTCCGATGACGACGAAAATTCTAAAAAAGGAGACAAAAACTGGATGAGCATTTTTAGAAAAGGGTGGCTTACTTACAAACCTGGTGAGGTGCGTGTGGAGTTTGACGACCCGAGTCAAGACACCGAGCTCAACTATGGCTTCAACAATAAACTAAGAGGTTAAGCAAAAGTATCAATAAGTAATAAAGTCTTCAATTTTTCAGACATTTCAACGCATTCTAATTGTAAACAAAAATGGAAAAATATCAAATAAGGTATGGAGCTATCCGATCTAGTAACATTCAACGGCAGACTGATGACGTGCGACGATAAAACCGGAGAAGTCTACGAGCTGATAAACGACAATAAAGAGGTCCTCTCTTTTGCCCACCTCAACAACGGTGATAGTCGCGACAACGATGGTAAGTTTGCTTCATTGAGGTGTCTAAAATTACATTAAAATGTACCGAACTCATAATAATCATTTGTATTTTGTGTTTGCAGAAATTTAGGCTTGCATATGTGAAGCTGTGCTGATGAATCGTTTCTTAGGCAATTTACCAACAAGCGCTATAAAAATATATATCAATAATTATTGATATAAATTTTTATAATGCAATCTACATGGTGTTGTTGTCACGTTTTCACATTCGTGTTGGTGATCGCAGACGACTACTGCACCACTAGCATGCCACTTTCATTAGTGTCACTTGAAAAAACATGAATAATTTAATTTTGGAACGCTGAAGCATTCAAATGCGAGTGGCTAGCGGTGAAGGATGGAAAGCTTCATGTTGGTTCGCACGGCAGGGAGTGGATTGGTGATGACGGCCAGTCAGATGAGAGTATGAAATGGATCAAGATTGTCGACACTTGCGGAGTGATCACAAATGTCAACTGGATCGATAAATACAATGCACTACGTGACGAAACCAACAATAAATTTCCAGGTACCAACCATGGATTTGTGATGACAATAAAATTTTACTCGGTGTATTCATAATCACTGAGATATTTATGTCACTAGAGTATGTGTTACTTTTATCGTTAGGTTAATGTTTTTTTACAAGTTAAATGTTTTCCACAGGCTACTTAATTCATGAGTCTGCAGTTTGGAGTGACTTGCACAAAAAGTGGTTCTTCATGCCTAGGAAGGTTAGCAAAGTGAGTTACAACGACAAAGAGGACGAGAAACGCTGCGGCAACTGGATAACCATGGCCGATGAGAATTTTGAAAACATCGAGAATATGGATATTGGGGAGAAGGAGCCCACGTACGGCTTCTCGGCATTCAGATTCATTCCAGAAACGAAAGATGAAGTTTTTGTGGCGGTCAAGACGGAAGAAGTCGACGGTAAAGTGGCTTCAAAGTTGGTTGCCTACGACATAGGCGGCAACAAAAAGATGGATCCAGTTCCACTCGGTAACCTGAAATTTGAAGGAATTGAATTCATTTAATTTGAAAAAATTATTCTCTTTAGTTGACAAATTTTTACCGGGCCCATAATTTGACTGATACAATTTGTAAGCTTGTTTCCAATGAAAATGAAATTTTTTAATCTTGGAAAATAATTAATTCATTTTAAAAACATTAAGAATTATCATTTGTTACACAGACCCGCCATTTTTCAAGTTATTTCTTACAAATGACTAACCAACCGTCACGTATATTCAAAATTAGCATCATCGGTTATAAATGGTTTAATACAAGTAAATTTTAGATAATATATTTTGAGTTTCGTTAGGATTTTTAACCTTAAATTGCGTGCGCACCTTTGTAGAAATGTGATTGTTCTGCGATGGGAGAGACCTACGCTGACTTTGAAGTCTGTAAGTAATGTAAGTAGCTCATATAGAACATACTAGGCGTGATGGTCTAGCGGTTAAGGTTGCCTGGTTCTGTTTCTCAAAGCGTGCAGTGACCAGGTTCGAATACGACAAAAAGATCCCCGCCTATCACACGCTCGTTTGTGTTGTATATTTCTCTGAACCTGGAAAGAGTGTAATAGACCTCTGACCTTTTTTACTTTTAAAATGAAGAAAATTTAATTAAGCTAGTCATACTGGTAGTTATAAAAAAAATCCTTAAAATTAATCAGACAGTCAATCAATCAATCAATCAGTCAGTCAATCAATCAATCAATCAATCAATGAGTTTATAAAGCGATATTTCCGCGATGTTCAACAGCGCTCCTCAGAGAAATATGCAAACAGATGGGTCTTGAGATCTGAACTTCGTAAGTGATGGAGAAGTAGTCAGAAAAGGAGGTAAAGAGCTCCAGAGATAAGGGCCGGAAAATGCAAATGCAGATTTAGCAAAAGAGTGAGAAAGTGTTTATGTGGAAAATATAGAATTTAACCATGGACCCCATTTTTTGGTTTCCCAAACAAAACGATGCAACTCGCTAACTGAATCATCTTTTATTTTGAAAAAATATATTATTTATAAAAATAATTTTCATAATAAAATATGTCAAAAACCCGAGAAAGTAAAATAAAAACAAAAATAAGAATACAATAAAATAAAATAAAACAACAATTACGAAGTTTAGTGTAACGACCTACCCAATAACAATAGAAACAAAACTAATTATATGCTAATTTTTCCTAATCACCGTTATAATTATATATAATTATAAATAATTATAATTAATAATAATAATATTATTATTAATGATAAATAATATTATTCTTATTATTATCACAACCATAATAATAATAATAATGAAATATTGATAAAAATTAATAAAATAAAATTAATAGCACACACAAACACACACACACACCATACACACGAACACACACATACCATACACACACATACCATACACACACATACCATACACACACACACACCCCACACACACATGCACGCACACACACACACACACACAACTATATTTTAATACTGGATGATGATGACTTAAAATGTGTTATGCAACTCTGTATGGGAATTGCTGCTTGAAATTTGATTGATTGTCGGTTGATTGATTGATTGAATAAATGAATGAATGAATGAAGAAATGAACGAATGAATGAAAGATTGATTGAATGAATAATTGAATGAATGATTTATTAGATGATTATTATCAATCGAGTTACCTATTGAAATGCAACAGTCGAATGAATGAGCGGGTAAAATTCAATGACTGTCTGATTGATAACGTGATTGTGTGGTTGACAAATTGGTAGAGTGATTGATTGGTGAACTAATAGATAGATAAACTGATTGATTGATTGGTTAATTGGTTGATTGATTGATTGATTGATTGATTGATTGATTGATTGATTGATTGATTGATTGATTGATTGATTGATTGATTGATTGATTGATTGATTGATTGATTGATTGATCGATTGATTAATTATTTAGAAATTATTCACACTCAGTTTTAAAAATTGCATAGATAAACAAATAATACAATAATTAAAAGATTGTAAATCACAAAACATGGCAACAAATACAACGATATATAAATATATATAATTATATATATATATATATATATGCATATATACACGTATATATATATATGTATATATATATGCGTGTACGTGCGTGTGTGCGTGCGCGTGTGAGTGTGAAACTATTTCTAATTACTTATATTTATTTTTAATCATTTCTTTAGTCAGTCATTCAGTTGTCAGTTAGTTGGCAAGTTATTAATAATTAATACTAATAATAATTAATTAATTAATTAGTGTATTAGTTGCATATAATTAACAAACACGAGATATTACACTTAGATAATTATTTATCAATTATTTACGTTATAATTACGTTATAATTATTATACTATTTTATGTTATAATTAATATATTATTTTACGTTATAATTATTTTGTTGTTGAGAATGCAGTTGCAAGATACTTCGTCTTGTTGTTGTGATTACATAAAAAAACATGTTACAACATTATGTGTGTGGGTATGTATGTGTACGTGTGTATGCATGTGTGTTTGTATGTGTGTGCGTACGTGTATATGTGCGAGCCCATGGTTAAAAACAATAGCCATAAAAACTATCATGTATGTATATGTCTGTATGCATGTGTGTGAGAGAAGTGAGTGTGTGTGTGTGTGTGTACGTGTTTTTGTGTGTGCGTGTGTGTGTTTGAGTTTGTGAGTGTGTGTGTGTAATGTGTATGTACGTGTGTGTGTGAGTTCATAAATGTTCAATGTAATAATAATAACAAATACAAAAATACAACAACTACAATGCAATACTACTAATTATAATAATAATAATAATAATAATAATAATAATAATAAAGAATAACTATTATTCCCACATAATTGGATTTTCCAATTGAATATCGTCTACGTGGTAAATAAAATGAAGAAAAAGAAGTGAATCGTTAAAATCAAGGCATATATAAATATATATATATATATATATATATATATATATATATATATATATATATAGTGATAGAACATGATTTTTGATTGGTGATAAATAAAAAGATTAACAGTAAAAGTGATTCTCATTGGCTAGAAATTTTATCAATAATATTATTAGGTTATTTTAAGACAACGGGCGACATCATCATCGTCGTCGAAAAACACAAACAATATTACAATGATGATTCATTATCATTTTTCATCGCCATCATCATCGTTGTCGTTGTCATCTCTTTATTACGTTCATAAGCAATATCCTGACATTAAAACTTATTATCGCTGCCTCGCTTTTACTTTAATCATTATCCTATCCATCGGTATCTTCATCGTTATCATCACGGTCCCTTTCTTTGATATAATCATCATCATCAGTATCATCATCATCATAATCATTGTTGACGTCATCATCCTTTTCCTCCTTCTCACATCATCGCCATCAACATCGTCGTCGTCATCGTCATCATCACTTTCTCTGAACATTCCTACCTTGAGGATACTTGGACCTCTGTGGCGACCCATGCTTGGTGACCAGGTGTGAAACCACCCTGGCTGGAGAGGTGCTTCTCTTGTTGTTGTGGCTGGCGGCAGCTGTTTGTTTTGCGGTTGTAGTGGTCGCCGCATTGGCTGCCCTCATGTTGTATGGAGACTTCAGTTGATCGCTGGCGACCTTGAAGTTGTCGTCGTAGTTGTTGTAGACGTAGATGTCGTCTGCTGTGTTGTGGTTGAGGTTTTTTAATGGTGATGCATGTTGCTGCTGCTGTTGTTGCTGCAGTTTCTGTTTGATATCCCTGTTGTATCTGTCCTTCAGATTGGATACCTGTATGGCAATGATAATGATAATCGCCTGTTCACTAGATCATATCTTCATCTTAATACACAATTTCACAGCGAAAGAGCGAAAATAAACAATGGAGAACTTTTATTATTGAATGCACATTTCAGCAGTTCATTAAACGAAAAAACGTCTGCCAAGACGAAGCAACGCCACTGACAGCAAGACATCGTGAGAGCTTCATCCAGTCAGACTTCACCATACTTGACCAACTTCCTATCTAAAAACTCTTCGCGATTTAAAAAAAATTCACTTTAATTTTGTTTTATTGTATGTTTGTTTTACGTTAACGTTCGCTTATAAGATTTTCATCATTCGTCCTTGATTATTTATTCTTCGTGGTTGGCTACGCATGCAAATCTCGAACTTGAGCTTTCAATGAAAAATTAATTTGAAATTCGGAAAGATGGAAACACGCCGGCTTTTATATGCCTTCTTTTAGTGCCAATAAACATAAAAATGCACTAAAGAAAATGAAATGATGATACTGAAATTATGCAAACCAACCTGCTCTTCCAGCTCCAAGATGTGCTGTCTATGCAACCTCTCTCGCGACTCCAGCAACAACTCAGTCTGCCTCTTCGACGACACAACCCTCTCCAGCTCCATATCTCTCTCCTCTCTGTTGCGTGTCGTTATCTCTATCAATCTGTGAGTGGTGACGAAGTGTATGGTCTTAATGAGTGGACTAAGAGGAGTTTCAATTAAATTATTATCATTTCTGCATTATCATCACTTTCATCATCATCATCATAACTAGCTTGCCCACCAGCATCATCATTACCATCATCACATCACCTCCTCCCGTGATCCTGTTCCACTTGATGAAGTTGCTCCTGTAGCATTCGAACCCGGTCCAGCAGGGTCAGGTTGTCCTCCTCCAGCTGCCTCATCGTCCTGTCCATCTGCGATTTTTCCATGCTACTCCTGTTTATGAACTCTTCGCTCTGATTGGTCGGTTGAATTGATGGATGGATGCATGTGGAAGGATGGATGGATGGATAAATTGATGGATGGATGTGTGGATGGATAAAATAATGGATAGATGAATGGGTTTATAAATGGATGGATAGATGGTTAGATGGATGAATAGATAGATTGATCGTTAGATGGATGAGCGGATATGACTTTTGTTGCGATAGCAATCATTATCTTATTATAGGCACAATCAACATCACTGTTAATAATAACATCAGAGTCACCATCATCATCGTAACATCACCAT